TTGGTCGGGGGCGGTGCTCGGCCCGAATTGAGCTCTAAAATCAATTTGTGTCTATCGTTTTGAGCTTAGCTGCAAATGATCACTTTATAAAAAAACAGATAAGATTGCAGAGAATTCCGGGTCGCATGAGAAACGTGATATGCTCCTTTAATTTTAAGTGCTAACGCCGGGTGCATCAATAACAATCGGATTCGTTTGTCTGCAACGAAGAAAAGGTCTATAGGCACTGCGAATGAAAAATAGCAGCATATTCTGATGTTAGGCTTCGGACTTTTAATTCTGGCTTAAGCCTTTCCATGACTGAGATATCGCACTATCAATAACTTTTCCCACTAGCAAACCAACTTAGAATTCCATCAGGATCAGAGGATCGAGGAACGGCCAATTTGTGGAGGATATGAAACCTGATATCCACATGTGCTTGACATCTCAAGTGTCGCCTATACAAACCGTGAATAGGTTTCTAGGCAAGACCTGTAAGATAAATGACAGGCCGAGCATGAAGAAGCTTGCGACTGGCAAAATATTATTTCTGTGTCTGCACCTGTTCCGATGGAAACCGGATGTTTTGGCAGCTTGGGTTTCCCTGCGCCCGTGTTCCCTTTTTGGGCCTTGGACGTCAGTGATCCTAATTGGGTGCATCACGTGAGTCAGCACAGGCGAGACTCGGATCACCACGTGGCTTGTACCCTTCTCTGCAACTTCTCTGCTTCGACGACGATTCGACTTTCTGCTGGCTAGGTACTGAGTCTGGTAACATATGGCAGAACTGAAAGTCAAGATCGCTCTAAGTATCGCACTCACTGCGCAGCGGCCAGCGACAGGCACAGCCCATTCATGATGCCGTAGGAGCACTCCAGCTGCGGGATCGACTGCGACGTGGGGCAGTGTCTGCATGAAGTGGAGACGATGGTAGGATGGCGTTGAAACAACAAGTGAATCGCGGGACCTCTTGCCCGATTTGGGTCTCAGCACCGCTACTTCGCGGATTAGATCATCCTCAATGACTCAGCCCGTATCTTTTCGGTGCGCAGCCATCGTTCAAATTATTTCTCGCTTTGTGTTTAACCGCATTCCACGGCATATCTTTGGCGTATCTGGCCTGGAATTCACCGCGCAGTGCGATGATATTTTATGAGGGAGTTGGCCAAATTTCCACTGAATTGCGATGACTGTGCTAACTGAAGTTCAATAGACTCCGTTTCTTTGGCAATCTGTCAAACATTGCCGACCATTGATCAACGTGAAGCGCATCACAACCGCAGCTTCTTTTTTGTGGCGCGTCCCTGGACTGCTTAAATAGGGTTGTCTTTCCGTCTCATCCCCCCATTCATCTTCTCTTCATCACTTTACTTCGTCGCACAACACTTTTTTTTTTTTGCTTCCCCCAATGTCTTCTCTCAACAGCACAGGTTCGTTTTTTCAATCGCGTCTTCCATCCGCTATCCTCCTAATGCAAGACCGCTTTAGTTACTCCTCCCACGCATGGGTCTCAATACGGATACGTACCCCACGAGGGTGTGGCTATTCTTTTCCTTACGCTTTTCGGAATCAGCACCCGTACGTCCGCGTCCATCTTCACGCTCTCTCGCTTATACATCCGCCAGTTCTTCACGCGGCGCAAGCGGCGTACTTCCGCATGTGGTGGCTGCTCCCGACGGCGTGCTTGTGTGGGGTCGGCGAGCTCGTAGGCTGGACCGGCCGCCTGTGGAGCAGCTTCTCTCCCGAGAACGGCAATCCGTATCTGATGCAGTACGTATACGTATAAATCCTCTATGCACAAACCCTTGTTTACACGGAGCAGGATCACCACGACAATCATCGCGCCCACCCCCCTCATCGCCGTCAACTTCATCCTCCTCTCGCGCATCATCACCCGCCTGGGCCCGTGCTACTCGCGCCTCACACCGGGAATGTACACCGTCATCTTCCTCACCTGCGTACGCCTTTCCTTTCCCACATTCCTCGTCCTGCGGCTCACTCACATGTATGCACCACAGGACCTCATCGCGCTCGTCGTGCAGGGTTTCGGCGGCGGCCTCGCCGCGTCCTCGCACAAGACCGCGACCGTCAACCTCGGCGGGCACGTCATGCTCGGCGGCATCATCTTCCAATTCTGCGCCATCTGCGCATACAGTTTGCTCGCCATCGACTTCCTCCGCCACTACACCGCCTCCGCGCCCGTGCGCCCCCACATCTCGTCGTCCGAGCGCGGGGTGCTCGACACGCGCCTGAAACTCATGCTCGCTGCCCTAGCATTCTCCACGCTCGTGCTGTTCATCCGCTCGATCTACCGCATCATCGAGCTTGCGGATGGCTGGACGGGGAGGATTATTACGACGGAGGTGTATTTCAGTGCGTCTCTTTTCTCTGATCCTTTCTATTGAGATTAATTGCTGACGCTGTTTGCCAGACGTGCTGGACGGCGGAATGGTGACGCTCGCGATCTGGACCATGAACATCGCGCACCCTGGCCTCCTGCTTGGCTCTCCGCGGCGCGACAAGGACCGCGATCACATGCTGATGAAGGAGATCCCGGGCAGCGAGAGGAGCTCGTTGGCGTGATTGGTTACCTGGACGCCCGCTTGTCTACATACATGCCATGTTCGGTCCGCTGCCCGCGCTGGCGATTGCCTACCAGGAACACATTGCCTACCAGGGACATCTAGATGCACTCCACGTAGCTACATATATCGCAGATCTGCTTCTCGATATCCACCCTGCAGAAGGACGTGATACTCGTACTTTACATTATTTGACGGACATCCCTATTTTATTTTATTTTATTTTATTACGACTGGAATGGAATAGATGCTTCATTCGACTCGGGCTTCTAACGTCTGCCTGTCCGATATAAATTCAAACTCGACTTGGGTAAGCCATACGAACATGCGAGGTACGAGCATGAACGTTTGTTTATAAGAAACGAGGTAAGCCAGTAGACCCGAGTGTAAGCATAATCATAAAACCGTTCCCTCCTTCACCATATACATATCATATCATAATATACCTAATTGTACAAACCGCGCCTGCTCAAGCAAGCGTGATTCATCGTGAACTTCGTCTACGCAAGCGTCATAGTGAACGACGTCCCACCCACAACGAGATGCTTCCCCTTCGCCCGGCGGCGCGTGCGCACCACCTCCGCGTCCGGCTTCCACACCTGCGTCTTCTCGCTCCCCAGTTTCCTGTCGCGCAGTTAGCTCATGAAGGGAAATTCGAGATAAAGTAGACGTACTTGGCGCGGCGACCGGGGGCGGGAACGTGGAGGCCCGAAGCTGAAATCGATTAAGTTGAGAGAGGGAATAATGGAATTGAGAGCATACCGGTTTGAAAGCCTTCAACGACGGGCGCGGGCTCGGCGGGGTCCGGGACGCGATCCCCTGGGTTGATAGTCATGTTCAGCACCTCGGGCAGCTGCGTCAAATCGGGCTCCACCTTCATAAACGCAATATGTCAACAAAACAGCAGATGGAGAAAAGAGAAATGCGAGACGCACGACAAGGGGGTATAGGGAGCCCTCGACTTTGGTGTTTCCGAGGTTGAGGGCGTTGCGCGCGGCGAAGCGGGTGGCGAACTTGACGATGGCGTAGCGGTACCCGAGGTCCGGCCGCCCCCGCACCATGCTGCCGCAGTAGCGGATGTCCGCGTAGAGCACGGCGCCGACGGCGCTGAAGTGCGCTACGAGCGCGTCTTTCGAGAGCTCTGGATCTAGCTGCACAAGAATTGAGTATAAAGATATAAGGAAGAGCAGGGACGCACGTTGCCGATGTGCACCCAGGTAGTCGACGGGAACTTGCGGCGGTCGGGGTTGGCCTTATCTTTGGCCTTGTCTTTCTTCTGCGCCTCGTTGGCGGCAGCGCGGCGGGTGGCGTACACGCGGGAAGCGGTTTTCTTGAGCTTGGCTGCCGCGGGTTCGGGCGCAGGGGCGGGCTTCACGCTTTTGGCCTTGGAGATGCTGGGTGCCGGGGAGAGCGTCGACGGCGAAGAACTCGAGGGTGCCTTGAAACACCCTCGGGGGGGCTGCTGTCTGGTGGGCTGCTGAGCCTGCTGGCGTCTGCGGCTGCGGGTGGTGGTCATTGGGAGTTGGGGCGGGGATAACTTGAAGTTGCGATGTGGAAGAGAGTGGAAGGCGGCGAGGGTTTACAAGCTCCGATGGGGCTCTTTATACAATTCCACAAGTCGGGTGGCATGCGCTTAGACCTGTTTACGAAAGCGGTAATCCAAAGAACCAACGAGTCAAAGCGCATTGTTTCGAAACGAAACTCCATGTGATCCGGAACGTGCCGACCATCCGAGATGTGGCAGTGCTCAGCGCTTCTGGGTCTCAAACGAATCTTAAGTGAAGGTCAGAGGAAAAGACACTAGGGATGGGAACGCGGTAGGATGCACTTCAGCCGTGTTTATTCAGACCTCAGACGGAAATATGATAACTAATCCACGGATCTCAAAGCGCCACGGCCAAAGCGCATCCACTGCAGTGTTTCGAGGAGGGTTCGTTCACGGATTCAACATCCAACGCTTCAACGCATCTACCTCGTTTAAGGAGGGGCACGCAAGCGTGGCCGCCTTCAAAGAACAAATTCTAACTACGAGTGAGGCGGCAGTAAAGCTAGAGGAACTTCCCACAAATACTGCATACATGCCAGAGACTCAATCTTGCTACTCGAGTGTCAAAGATGGCTTACATGGTCCATCATAGCGCAAACTGTTTAGACACGCAGTGGGGACCCAAGCGGTGATACGGTCTTTTTTCAACGTGCCCCACATTATCAGAATTTATTATTACTACTACTTATTCGGCTTTGATTATTCCGACTAACTTAGTAGACTGACGTACTACAAGGTTTCTTCCGCGGCGCGCTTCATCGTCGACAAAGCATTTTAAAAAAATCGGAGGCCTGCCTTGTCGGACGTTTGATACTCTTGTCGCCTGCCTTCAGGTTCTCTTCCTATTATCTGGCTGGGCTTATATCCACTAAAATACATGTCTCTTCGTGCCCACTATAGTCCAGTGGTAGAACCTCACGCACGTTCAGCTCTCATCGTAGGTCGGAGGTTCGAATCCTCCTAGTGGCGTACAGGTAGCCGGACCCGGGCAGCAGCCCATGACCCACAAGAGGGCGTTCGCGAGAGAGTCAGTGTCATTCTATCGTGCACTCCTGGCTTTCACACATAGTTTTTTTTTGATCTAGTTTTATATTTCAAAGTATACTCCAATAGATACGTGCCTCCGTGTCGTTGTTGCTCTGGTATCCTAAATTCCAACTAGTACACAATGCAAGTGATATAGAGTACATATATATGTGATGTGAGTCTAGAGCAAACACCCTATAAATCGCGTGCACAGGATGATCATTAGCTATGTACGTTGTATGGAAGGAGCGAAACATGAAGCAAGAACCAGAACAAAAAAGAAAACACCAGAAACCGAATAAAGTCGGAGGCCAATCGACGCCAGAGCTACCGCGAGAAGGATGAATGCGGTCTGGGCAAGAAAGTCGAATGAAGGTTTGATTATGAGTAGCGCGTCGTGGGTATTTGTTCCTGTTTCGTACCTCTCAACGCGCGGAGGATCCACGTGACGTGATCCGCCTTCTTTTTTTACAAGAGGTGGACTCCAAAGTACCAAAAAGGGTGCGGGCAGAGGTGGGCAGAGGCGGAGATACAGGCGGGACGCGTCTGAGGTGGCGTGGAGATAATGTGTGCCCACGGTGTACCGCGCACTGCCGAGGCTGATCATCATCCCACGGGTGGGTCGTGGAAGTATTGGCTGATCCAAAGATCGCACCTCCTGTTTTTTTACATTATCTCTCTTCGGCATTCGACACATTCGACACGACACGCCCTTTCACATCCATCCAATCACCTCCTCACCGTCTCTGCCGTATCTCAGGAGCTCCGAGTCGTTCGAGAAACGCCCCAGCACCTGGGTCTCCCGGCACGTCCACTCAATCGCATTTGGTGCTCGATTTTTCGACATCAGAGTCAAGCAAGCTTATGCTTTCCCCTCCATATTCGTCTGACCACCTCTCGACTGCTGTCTGTGCGGCATCTCAGGAGCTCGTGCGGGAGAAGGAATCCTCTCCCGCCCGTCGCTTGCCTGCCGAGACGCTGGTCCGGATTTTCGCTTCATGTGATTCATTTAACACGGACTTGATACTCCCGTGGGACATCGATATCTCCCGTCTCGCGCAGGAACCTCTTCTGACAGTGTCTCGGGTCTGTTCGCAGTGGCACACCATCGCTATCGGCACTCCTTCATTGTGGGCCGCCATCGAGATCTCCGAGTCCGGAATCTGGTCCAATACCTCCCCGCGGGCGAAAGCAATGGAACTTCTCGCGCGCGCGCTGGAGCGGAGTGCGCCGTTCCCGCTCAATATCTCGGTAATTGGCGAAACGTCCCTCCTAGCTCTGAGCGAACTTGTCAAGCATTCCAAGCGATGGAGGACGGTCAAGTTCCGCTGCCCTCGCCAGCATCTCCAGGCTTTGGCTATGGTGCGGGGGAAACTCGACCTTCTCGAGGTTCTTGACGTCCGCAGCGTGGATGGACTGGGAGACGAGATGGCTTTTTTCGAGGTTGCGCCCAGGTTGAGACACCTGGTCGTGAGTGGATCAGTCCTTGGACCAGTCCTCGCCACAGGTGGCAGGCTGCCTCTCCAACAACTCCATACCCTTACATGCATTAACTTCCAGCCCGATGTCCTCGCGCTGACCGTATCTTCCATGTCGAGTTTGTCCCACGGCACCAAGGTTTCTCTCGATGTCAATTTCTCTGGACAGCGCCTGCGCAAACGCGTCGATATGCGCCCACTCCCCTTAATAACGCCCATTCTATCAACGATCACCAGCCTTTCGATTTCGGTCAAAATCAGCACCCTTGTCGCGCGGAGGTTAATAGCAGATTCCGTTCCGCTATACGACGACGTGTTGGCTAGCCTCACACTACCCCACCTGCAGGACCTGACCGTCAAATCGTACTGGCAACACACCGCATTTCTCGCACTTTCCGCGCGATCCGCGTTCCATTCCCACCTTCTCTCCCTCGACCTATCTTATTCCGACATCCTGGAAGCAGAGCTTTTCGAATCCATATCCGAGCTGCTCTCCCTGGAACGGCTCGCCATTTCAGACAGCGAGTACAACCCATCTGACGGCGGTGACCCACCGGTGATCACCGACACCGTGTTCATTCATCCACCTGACTCAGACGCCCGACGATCCAACCCCCCTTCCCCGCCTCCGATCACTCAACTGCCGATCCCGCCTCCGTTTCGACGACGGCGTGTATCTCAGGTTCCTGCTGTCCCGACTGCAGGACGGCCGGTGTTTTGAGAGCACGATGCGCTGGCTGCCGAGTTATCAGAGGGACTTGGACCCGGGTGTCGTTGCACGGATTGACGAGTTGTGTGCTACGAACGAGCTTGTGTTTTCGTTTGAGGAGGCTATCGGTGATATTAACCCAGGTTCGAGGTATTGACGCTAGTGTACCAGGCTTCCAGCACATATATCCCATCTTCTGCCTAGAATTTATGCATTTCCAGTCCCGGTCATTGTCAACTGTTGTTCATTTTGTTCATTTGGAATGAGCTCGGTATGTTTTGACGCGAAGTTGACGTTCAAGAAGCATCTTGTACCGTACTCCTTTAGATCCCATCCCACAATTTAAATTGAAGGCTCTGAATAAAGATGGTGTCAGATGTCCGCTTCATAAACCCCAACCCCATGGCACATACTGTGCAAAAATTATCCGGTTGTGCCCCGCATGGAGTACGGCCTCCCCGTCTGGTACAGACCTGTCTCGGCCAACACGGACACGCGGAGGAAGGGCACGGTGTGGATAGCGAAGGCATTGGGGAGAGTGCAGAGGTTAGCGTGCAAAGTCATCACCGGCGCCCTCCGTACCACCGCCACGGACACTCTCGACTTCCACGCAAATTTACTCCCGACCCATATCCGCCTAAATCGCTCCGTCTTCAACGCGACCGCCCGTATCGCCTCCCTTCCCCCCTCCCATCCTCTCCACCGTGCCTTCCTGCGATGCCAGCGCGTCCCCCTCTACCACCGCTCTCAGCTCCACCACTGCATCGCGGCCTTCCCGCTGCTACGCACTGGTTTCGAGACCATCGATCCCCACCTTGTCATCGAAAATACCCTGCCGGGACTGCTCGCGACTCGCATTGCACGCACAAAGGACGATGCCAGGAGGGAGATGGAGAGAATCACACGCCGCGGTGGCTTTTGCATTTACACGGACGGGTCGGGGTTTGAGGGAGGAGTAGGAGCTGCGGCGGTTGCGTGGGGCGAGAGCGGCGAGCTGGCGTGCAGGCAGAAGCACCTGGGGAGCGAGGACGAGCACACCGTCTTCGAGTCGGAGGTAGTGGGCGCCATCTTCGCCCTCGACATTGTCAAAGCGACACCGCGACTAACGAGCGTCGACATCATCTGGGAAAAGCCCAGTCCCTCAGTAGAGTGGGATAGGGGCCAGTAGAGCTGTAGGGCGGTAGCAACTCCCCCCTTCTAGAGAGAGACCAGTAGAGCCGTAGGACTGTAGAGCTGTAGAGCTGTAGAGCTCGGTAGAGCCTGGTAGAGCCCGGTAGAGACATCGTCCGCGTGGACAATATCATTGATGGATTCAGATCAGGTAGCTGTCGACCTCGCTTATCACAAAAAAGATACGGGGGAAAAATAATAATATTGCAGCGCGCTCTACTACTAGTCGACGTCCAAAGCAGCCAAGTAAGAGAAAAGGCCAAAAGTACTGACCTGTGCGCGATGGGATAAAGCAAGGAAAAATAGCCGAGTCTAGCCGAGTGTGCGTTGGATCTTGATCTTGGAATTGATCATTGGGGGATTTGAGAGGATTCGAGCGAGCTTGCGGCGCTCTTGCAGGACCAGAGCACAAATATGCTTGAGAGTGCTTGAGGGTGCTTGAGAAAGTTATTGCATGCCAGAAAAAGCTGCCCGCCAAGTTAATTTGCGACGAAGTTGAGGTGCGGGAGGGAGACAAAGACTGGGAGTCTTGAAGATAGAAGTGAGGAATAAGCAGAGTAGAAGACTTAGAAGACTTAGAAATTTTCTTCGCCTTACTTATAATTCAAGTCCAACGGTCGCGTGGGCGACAGCTTCATCAACCCATCAAGCCAAATCGAGTCTACATGTGAATGTGAAGTTCTACCCGGCTCTACAGAGGTTACGGGGATCTACAGTAGGCGTCGGCTCTACGATAGATTGCGAAGCTCTATGGGGCTCTACAGGGAAGGCTTGGGCTCTATCAGAATCTACCCAGCCCCACAGCCTCTACCCTGTTGGTTGCTTTCTACCAGTTTCTACCACCCCGAACTCGATTTCCAGATGATCTTTACAGATTGTCAACCCGCCATCCTCGCGATCTCCGACCCCAAACCACAACCCGGCCAGTACCTCCTAAGCGCCTTCCACACCACCCTCCGCCGCCTTCACCGGGCCCGTCCCTCCCTCCGCATTCGCCTCCACTGGGTGCCCGCGCACGTGGGCATTGCCGGCAACGAGGCGGTCGACGCGCGCGCGAAGGAGGCGGCCCAGGGCGCCTCCTCCGCCCTCACCTCCCGCATCCTTGCCCTCGAGCGCCGCCTCCTGACGAGCAGGGCTGCCGCCATCGCTGCAGCGGCGAAAGGGTTCCAGGCGCGCTGGCTAGCGGAGTGGTCTGCGTCTCCACGCTACCACCGCCTCCGGCTCTTCGACGATGCTACGCCGTCGAAGACTGTCGCCCGCATGTATGCGGACCTCAGCCGCCCGGAGTGCAGTGTCCTGACGCAGCTCCGCACGGCGCACATCGGGCTGAACGCCTTCTTATACCGCTTCCATCTCGGCCCTTCCCCCGACTGCGCGCTCTGCCTCGTCCCCGAGACAGTCGCGCACTTCCTGCTCTCGTGCCCTGCCTACCGCCGCCAACGTCTCGCCCTCATCATGCGACTTGGTACCGCCCGCCTCTCACTCCGCCGCCTACTCGCTGCCAAGTCCGACCCGGGCCCTGCCCTGGCGTTTGTCCGTGACACGGGCCGCTTCCCGCGCTATGCGCTCTGAGGCTTCCCTCTCTT